TATTAAACTCTATATCACAAATTCTGGGTAAGACCAAATTTGAAGAGGACCATGTTTAAATATTATAAACATCCAGTTTTAATTCCGTAATTAGTTTGTTATGACAATCTATGAAGTCTGTAACCCTTGACATGTTGGAACAGAAAATGATAAGTTCTTGCCACAAGTATAGATCCAGGCCAGCCTGATCACCTGTGCACTCAGTTCAGGTTCTGCACTGTAGACAGCTCAATTTTAGTTCCTGTATATTGATTGATTGATTTGATTGACTTTTCCAAATACAAAGCAGGGCAAATCCATTACAGACATTCAGCAGTTTATTTTTATAAACAAATTGTTCACTAACAGACAGACAGGGGACTATGTTTTTTTTCCAACAATATTGACCATGCACTCTTCATTTGACCCCCTAGCCAGTAAATTCCGTAAACTTTTGATCTACTTAATCTTAATGAATGTTTATAATACTGCATGTTTGTAACGTCGCTTTTCATTGGATAATCGTGACGTTTATATAGTTTTATATACACGGCTCGCAGCTGTCGATTCATAAAAACATCTTACTTTTTTCTCTAAAAAATAATGCTTGCTGTATTATAAATTCGTTATAAAGATTGTTGACAGGTAGTAATATTATGGCGGTATATAAACGGCTGTTTGCAATATAACCCCGCCTACAAATAGCGGTTTATATAGGGCCATATAACCTGACAACAATCTTTATAACTAATAATATAACGAGTTGTTAAATGGTCTTAATTAAGAATCCCTCTTAGCGCAAGCAGTAATTAAGACATTGCTTCAAGATATTATAGACATTATAAAATCGTAGGTTCAAATCCTGGTTCAGCCACTTTATTTCTTTTAATTTTAAAATTGCCCTTCTCTCCTTCTGTAAATTAAACTTGTGCAAATCATTTTTTTTTGTGTATTCTATCTGTGTACTTTTATATTAACTACATCATTCTGTAGTGTGTATGCGCTATAAACCATATACGTTTGCATAATGTCACCAAGAAACCATTGAAAAATATGCGTTCTAGAGAAAAACTTACGATTGTCCAACGTCCGTATGTCAGAGTACTTACGAAAACAAGTCATCTTGATAAAACAAAAGGAAACACCACACTACTTAAAAGTAAGGCCCCCACGATTACACGTTTAAACGGATTCGTTTCGATTTTCATTCATAAACGTTTACGATATTGTTTACCGTTTAATCAAAATGACTGTATTGTCTTACAAAATTTCTTTATCATTGCCTGTAATCATGGATTCTAGTGGTTTATTCCAAAGTAAACAAATGGAAAATGGTTGTTTACAACCCTCCACACAGAATTATGGGGTTACAATGCAAAAAATGTGTGCTGACTCAATTGTGATGAGCCCTGCACATTCTTTATTTGTACATGTATTAAAAATAGAAAGAAAGACATCATTTGGCGACTCAAAAACATGGTGTGTATAGTACATAGAGGTACCACCGTTTAAACGGTATCGTTTCGGTTCTTAGCAATCGTGTAAACGTTTACAAAAAATTGTAAACGTGGGAGCCTTACTTAAAAGTTCTCCTAAAAGTAGATATATTAAAACAATTTCAAATTAATTCAATTCTTGCTATAATAAAAAAAAACAAAAACACAAAAAGTGTGACTTCATAACGCAGTGTTGGTTAGGAATCAAACCAGAGACCTTCAGATCAGTAGCCCGGCATCTATACAAATATACCTCACCTTACTGACATGTGAAGATAACAAATAATTATCAATATATTCGTTTGATACAAGTGTTTATTCAATGACCTTTATGAAAGTTAATGAAGATGATACAAGGACAATACTGTTGGACAATATAACCAACCAAAATATGCCCAGAAGTAAAAGAAAATTTTTTTGGGGATATAGAATGTACAACTTCTGCAAGTTTAATGAGAACTGGTCAGTGGGCTGATGTAATTTAAAGGTATTCTAAGATTTTATGAACTTCCTAGAATGACAAAGTACATGTAATTGATATTATAACTGAAATTGAAAGGTATAACAAGTAGAAATTGATTTATCAGCACCCATCAATTTTAAGCTGTGGTCTCACTTACTACCGGCAGAGCCCAGGACCAACCCGGTAAGTTACCAGTATGATCCGGGACAACTGGGGTGAAATTATTGTTGCAGTCACACTAACCCCGGCAGCACTATGGTATTCCCAACTAACCAACCAGGATGCGCTCCGGACCATCCAGGCAGAGCCCAGGTGAAGCTACGGTTAATACAGGTGCTTCCCCGGTCGATCCAGGCAGACCCCTGGTAGATTGAAAATTAAACGCACGAAAAGATTAACATTGAAACATAATTTTTATTTAATATAATATCTATTGTTCCAGAACAGTAATTCATGATGATTTTCTGAAAAATCCTTATGCCATACTGGATAGAAGGGAAATTGCAAGGGTTTTAAAACAAACAAGTGCAATCATCGCAAATTGTTGTGATTCTTTTGAAATGAACCGGGCTTTGCCGGAGCTCTACCTGGATCAACCGTAGCTCCATCGTCATCCTCCAGGGCTCTGCCGGCATCCTCTGGGACTCTGCCGACATTTACCGGTACTCTGCCAGCATTCACCGGGGCTCTACTGGCTATATCATACCCCAGATCATCCCCGGTTTGTGCCGGAAGTCTCAGCTACGGTGCTTCCCCTGTGTAACCCTGGTTATTCCCGGCAGAGCTAAGGATGAAGCCTGCAAAGCTTTACTTCCCGGATCATCCAGGACCACCCTGGTGATATTAAATATTTTATTCCATCCAGGGTCGAATGCCGGATGTTCCCAGATCATCCCAGATGTTGTCGGCAGTGTAACGGATGTACCCCGGTTGTTCCCGGTTACTAAGAGCCCCGAATCACCCCGGACGTCTACCAGGGCTCTGCAGTGATGTCAGTGAGACTGTAGCTTTAAGTCAAGACACATTATGAGGACCTTGTATTCACAGTTGTTATGGTGTCTCTGTCATATTTCCAAACAAATATTTTTCAAATATTACAGCTTAAACTCTTAACCTGCAAATGGTGTCACACATTCTATCATGCAACCAGTAAAGATCAGAGCCAGCATAATTATCCTTTAAAACATTTTGAAATCTAAAAGATTTTGAATTATTTCGCTAAAATTGAAGTCCGTAATTTAACAAGAGCCATGTCAACATGGCCATCCCCCGCCGAATGTGTTTGCTCATTGGAAGAATGTATATGTAGTAGAGCAGAATAATTCCATTTTAAGAGGTCTTTTGGTAATGAAAATTGATGGCTATAGTGATTACAGATTTGAAACCTATGTGAATACTGATGGCTGAAAATAACAAAGGGCAATAACTGAAAAATAATGCAGGGTAGGTAATCATTCTTGTGTGCTGCATCCCTCCTCAGTAAAATCTATTCACCTATGAAGTTTCAAGTTGATACCTCAAATACTTTTTGAGAAAAAAATTGAATTGAAAAATTAAGTATGAAAAATAACAAAGGGCAATAACTCAATTATAAAAGGTACAGTTATCATTCTTGTGCAGTGCACACCTCCTGAGTGAGATCTAAGCACCTATGAAGTTTCAAGTTGATACCTCAAATACTTTTTGAGATAAGCTCTGGACAAAATAGCATGAAAAAAACAACAAAGGGCAATAACTCAAAAATTGTATAGGGAAGAGTTATCATTCTTGTGCACAACATTCCTCCTCAATAAGATCTATCCTTCTATGACATTTCATGTTGATATCTCAAACACTTTTTGAGTTATGCTCCACTCAGGTAAAAATTAGGTATGAAAAATAACAAAGGGCAATAACTCAAAAATTATGAAAGTAAGAGTTATCATTCTTGTGCACTGCACACCTCCTGAGTGAGATCTATGCACCTATGAAGTTTCATGTTAATATCTCATAGGCTTTTGGAGTTATGCTCTGGACAAAAATCAATTTTGAAAAATAACAAAGGGCAATAACTCAAAAATCATGCAAGGTAGAGTTATCATTCTTGTGCACTGCACTCCTCCTCAATGAGGTCTATCCACCTATGAAGTTTCAAGTTGATAACTCAAATACTTTTAGAGATATGCTCCGGACAAAAATTTCGGACGGACGGACGGACGGATGGAAGGTCGGACGGACGGACGGACGGAGACTATTTCTATATCCTCCGCCGAAAATTTTAGGATAATAATATCAATTGGGGTATTAAGGATTAAATGCCCAGCAGCTGCAAGGGTGGCTAACCTTACTTTTTATTTTGAAATACATGTACATGTGCCTAAGATAGCATTTATACCATTCTATAGAATAGCATATAAATTTATAATTACCATAAAAAATAATTTTAGCTTATCCCATAGCATATTTTTAAATAAAGTGGTATAGGCTATATTATTCTCTATTGAGGACATCCATTCTCTTCAAACTTTTACTGATTATTCTTACTTTCATTATTTTTTATCATTCTAAACATGACTTGCACATATTATAATCTTATTTTATAATGGCTACATGTATTTTATGTGATTTAGAAGTAATGTTTTATTTTATCCAATTATTACATCCTATAAATAAGATGTGAGTTTGAGATACTTCCGTTTTGCACAAAGAAAATAATTAAAATTGCTCAAAATTTGTGCGGAAAACAGTTGTAACTTGAGATACTACCCTTTTGCACAAAAAAATATGTAACAAATTATCAAAATTTTATTTGCAAAACGGTTGTAACTTGAACTTATTCAAATATCTTTTTTCAAAAATAATTTGCTTCTTTTGTCTTATTTTGTTTCTAATTCCTTAACTAAAATGTATATATTTTCCTAAAATGAAACATTTTTATTCATTAACAAAAGTTTTAAAAAGTTTTTTCATGCTCCTGTAAAATTTGCTTAAATTGAGTTACAACCGTTTTGCGCTAAGCCCGCGCTTTTTCTGCTAAATCTTTCAACAACAAGTTAACCAATTCTGTTTTTATTTATTTTCAGGTGAAGTCATGGTGTCGGGAAAACTTGCTGCTCATATTGACAATAGCTGGTGTGGTGTTTGGTGTCATACTTGGTTTTATAATACGTATAGCGGAACCATCACCTAATGCTATAATGATAATATCATTTCCCGGGGAGATCTTGATGAGGGCTCTCAAAATGTTGATCTTACCTCTCATTGTTTCCAGTCTTATCGTAGGTATGAACACAATATACATTATTTATGTCATTTATATATATGTTATTTTATGTTATAATATTTTGTTTGATCTTTTTGAAATGTAAAGTAAATATATCAGTGAATATATCACTTTTAACCTTTGACCTTATGAGCATAATATTATTGTGAAAAATGGCCAATTTCATTGAAAAGCCTCCTTTTACAAGTTCAAACTGCTATGAAACTATGAAAAATGCTTCAATACTGATGAAACTTGGCACAAATGTTGACTGGACCATAGCCTCTGTAACAGCATGCTCAAACTTAAATTTCCTGTTACTATGGCAATAGGGGGACGTCTCAAAATTGCGAAAAATCACTATTTTGCATTGATTTTTTCCATCAAAACTGATTTCAAAGTGCTGCAACTTCTCAATGGATTGAGATGGAGTAAAATGCTTTTCAGGGTTGGTTACACATTTCCTTACCATCCACCTGAGGCCATTTTTAGCCTGTCACATGTCCAAAATTTTCTTGGCAGTGAGGGGAGCTGCCTGCCCCCTTCAAACCCCCCGAAACAGAAGGGGGCACATACCCCTTCTGGCAACCCCCTGATGTACCTTATTGATGGATGCGGCGCTGAGAAAGTAATCACTTTTTTAAACAACATTTCCCAAGTGAAAAACAGTGAATGGGGCTTAAATAGGGTAATTTTTCACTATTTGAGGCCTCAAAAAGGGAGAGGGGGGTCGAAAAGCTGTCAAAACATGTCTATATGAGGTAAAGGGTTAAAGGAGCTCCACTGAGGTCAAAATGCATAAAAACCCTAGAATTTAAAATTCTTGAATAGATTTAGTAATGCTTTTCAAATGGAAAAATCTGCTAAGATCAAAAAAGAAATACTCAATTTTTTGCAAAATGTTTAGCCCTGTTTGAGTGAAAAGCATTGCAATGATTTTCATTTTTTGGTCATTTTGCACAATAATTTTCTTTTTGAAAGTAGAGTTAGGGAATGATCTGAAAATTTGCACTCAGGTTATTAGTCCAAACCTTCATCAGATGGTTTACAAGTCTCAAAAAAAATATTCCCAGTTTCTTCATGTTATAAAAAACCTCAGTAGAGTTGCTTCTCACAGCTGTATGATACCAGGTACAAAGTTTCTTGTTGTTGCTCTATATTGAAAATTATAGTTAAAGCTATGGTCATTATTGGTCAGACAATCTGACAATAGGCCAGCATAGAACTTAAGTCCCAACCACCTGTATTTTCCTTTGCAATCAGGATTTGAAGACATTTTCTCTTTTTGGCAATACCATCAAGCAGACGTAAGTGATGTGAATTTTATCTGTAGGACAACTAGTTCACAATGTTATCAATATGATTAAGTGGAACTAAATTCTCTGATGTTAAGCATGAACTTCACAGATTTAAGTTCAGTGTGCCTGAAGATGTCACTCATTGTTTGGCTGAGGAAAGTATTGTAGCAACTGTTATACTTTGATTGGGTTTAAAGTTTGCAACAATTCCTTTTAACTGTTTAAATTAATTAGAGAATTGCTTGCTTCTAAATATCAAAAAATAATTTTGAAAATTTTTGTCATAGATAAATATATAGAGGATATTCAAGTTTTTTCTATAAATACATGATTTATTTTCATCGAGTGGTATGAAAATAAATATTTCATGAGTGGCGGTAGCCACGAGTGAAATATGGTAATTTTCATGCCACAAGATGAAAATACATCATGTATTTATGGAAAAAACTTGAATTTTCTGTTTATTATATACATTTTTCTCATTTTTGACATTAAAATTTGAAAGACTTTCCCTTAGATTTAGTGTACTGGCAGAATTTAAAAGAAAGTAGTCCGGCAAGACACCAGTGAAAATACGGAAAATATGTTTCACTGCAGTGAAAAATAAATTTTTTCAGTGATAATACGGAAACTGAAAATACACATTTTATTTCGTCAATATTTCTCAATATTTCATTTATAAGTATATAATAAACAATGTAACGTAAATGACAAAATAATATAGATTATTTTAACTGTAGTGCAGGTAAAAGGGTATAGTTGTCACAAAAAAAACACAATAATTATCATAATTAATTCATACATGACATTCTTGTTTAATGATGTCTTTAGTTACTTTCTTGTTTCCAATTTTTTGTCTGTCATCTGTACTTAAATAATTGGATATTTGCCAGATTTTGACTTTTACTTACAACTTTAACTTGAATACATTTGTTATGAAATTCAATAAATTTGTTTTTGCATTAATTATACTTTTTAACTTTTGAAGAGAATTGTTTTGGGTTTTCTTTTCTTTTTTCTTGTATATGATATGATTTTTCTTAAAATTCTTTGGCAACATTTTGAGTCGGTAATAAATTCAGGATTTAAGGATTATAATTATTGGAAATGAGAGCTGAACCAACTTTGCACTTGGGCATATATATCATTGCCCTGCCTTTTCAGGGCTCTTGTTTTCATTTTGGTTAGGTAATTTGTACATTAAATTGTTTTAGATTTTTAATGTGATTTATAGAGTCCAGTTTTATCAAAATTTCCATTATACCCCCACCACATAATGTGTAGGGGGTGAACTTGAATCATTTGTCAAGCCCTTCAGTCAGTTTGTTCATCCATCTGTTGGTCAGTCAGTCCTGCTCCACTGTATAAATCTTTAACCCCATGTAGGATTTTCTTGAAATTTTGCTCAATTTATTTCACCATGTGCTGAGTCAAGGTCAAGATCAAACTTTGAGGTCAAATACAGTTTTGTGTTTGATATCTAGTTTTCTTCCAACTTGGTTTCAATATTCATCTCAACAAGATAATGTGCAGAACCAATTCCTTAGTATGCCAGCTCAAGGTCAAGATCAGTTTAGTGAAGGTCTAACTTCCTGTTTGCTTTACAAATCCTATATCTCTTTAAGGGTTTTTTTTAAAAACTTGGCTCAGTTGTTCTCCTCAACAATGGAATGTGCAGAATCCATGCTGTGCTGGCTCAAGGTCACAATTTAAGGTCAAATGGTCAGATGATAATTTGTTAGCTCTATAAACCTCTTGAACTTGGTTCAAATGTTTATCTCAAAAAAGTGATGTGCAGAACCTCTGCTGCTGCTGTGCCAGCTTGAGTTCAAGGTCACCTTTGAAGGTCAAATGTTAGACAATTTATTGCCCACTTTACAAATCTTATACCCTTGAAGGAATTTCTTCAAACTTGGCTCTATTTAGGTCACCTGGTGTTCTCAACAACATGAAATGCAGAACTCATGTTGCTATGCTGGCTTAAGATCAAGGTCCTCCTCTTAGGTAAAAATTTAGTCAGTTTTTGTTGGCACTGAAAATTGTTTGTTTGTATTCTTGTTGAAGGACTTTTCTATACCCTGTGAGGCCCAGACTCAATTACGTGGAGCCCCATATGGTGGGATGGTTAGGGGGTTTTGACCGATTGTCCGCTTAAGTGAAATATTCACCATTGAAATAAATGGACCTACACAAGTGTACATAAAATCCTTTATGATAGAGATGATGGGGGTATTTATAACTTGTGTGGTAGCTTAAGTTTGTAATAATTCTGAAAAACTAGTCAAAAGTAACTTGATATATAATTACAATATTGTTTAAATCGCAGCTTTTTTAACATAAATTGATCAAGAAATTTTTTATTTTGAAATTACTAATATATGAAAATCTAGATATTTCCCCCATCCAGTTTGTTTTATCAATAATTTGCTGTCAATCTGTTCATTTAGAATATGTTGTTTATTTCTTTATTATTATTTTAAGCTGTTTACAGTAACAGATGGCAGTCTGTGCAGATTATTTTGATAAAATAGACATGTTAATAATAAGTCATAATTTCATGGAAGGTTCATTTGAACTGCTGTTTTAGTAATATAGTGTTATAATTTCATGAGAGTTGGCTCCAGAGTTTTAATTGACTGAATGATATTTGAATGCCTATAGGTGATGTAAAAGATGCCTTAAAGCTGCATGCCTCCAGATGAGGAAAAATATTTCGATAAAATCAAACCTGAGAAAAATGTACTAAGATTTTACAAAAAGTATAAAGATTCAAAATTTTTTGTAATACATGTAATTTACATGTTATCGCGATTAATGACCGATTTTTCAGTATTTATGACTATATTTCTACTGCGTTACCAATACAGTAAGGGCTATTTTTGCATATTAATTATGGTAATTAACATGGGTTGTATGTATGTGCCATTGATAATGTGTAAATTGCATTCTTTTGGTAACTTCACAATATTATACTGTTATATACAGTCAAACTTGTATTAAGCGACCGTGCAAGGGAAACACCCAAAACGGTCGCTTAATGAAACGGTCTCTTAAGACAAAGCATGATATAAAAGTCAAAATTTATACATGACATCTTTCTAATGCGGTGGGAATGTTTTTTAACTTCATTTTTAGCTCGACTTTTTTTTTTTCTTAAAAAAAAGTAGAGGTATTGTTATAGTCAGGTCGGCGTTGCCGTTGCCGTTGCCGTCTCCGTTGCCGTTGCCGTTGCCGTCCGAAAACTTTGTACCTGGATCATAACTTTTTTATTTCTTGGTGTATTGTCTTCATACTTGGCCACAACAACCCTTGGGACAAGACCTTTCAGTAGACCACACTAACCTTGACCTTCATCCATAAATGACTTGACCTTCAAGGTTAAAAGTCCAATTTTTGCTTGTTCATTGCTGTTATTGGCTGTTACTTTGTTATTTTTTGAATGGATTGTCTTCAAAACTTGAACATAATAATCTTCAAGGATATCCCTTAAAAATAAACCAGTCAGACCTTGACATTCACTCATCAATGACCTTGACTTTGAAGGTCAAATTATTGAAATTTTTTGGCTATTATTGGCTGTAACTTTGTTATTTTTGAATGGATTGTCTTCAAACTTGAACATAATAATCTTCAAAGATAACTGTTAAAATATACTGAAAGACCTTGACCTTCACTCATTAATGACATTGCCTTTGAAGGTCAAATTATTGAAATTTTCATTG